ACGATATGCATTATTCATCAACCGGTACAGATATTTTACGCGATACTACTTGTGCCGCATGCACGACGATCGTCCGGGAATAATGACGCGAAACGATCTGGTCCTGCCCACTTGTGGCTTCGTTACACGTGAATTGCTCTTCCGTACGATGAGCCCGATGATTTTCTAGAATTCCGTCAACGTCGACAAAGTCCCTTCATTTACTTTTCAGTCTGATGTCAAGGTGAAATTTAACGCGACGACAAAAGGTTATTCAACGCTGAATAGTCGTCAAACGACCTATTAGCGTACTTCTTGAAATTCTCTGTAAAATATATAACGAATAAATTCTCGTTTGTTCTCCAACAGGTCGACAATTTTAGTACGAATCATTTTTAACTCTCGGTTAAAATCGTTGTCAAAGAACTGAACGAAAAGTGCGACGATAATTCTGGTTTCGTTACGAAGCTTTCGAAGCCTTCACTTTCAAAATGCACCGTTCATTTTATTCTAAGACGTTTCTACAGCACGCAGTGTGTGAAAGAATGAAGACACTTTTCTTCTCAGAAATTTATAATGATAAATTTCTTTATGTCACAACATACATTGAAAAATTTTCTTCGTGCTTCAGTTCACAAGAGACATCAAGATCGAATCGTCCCCAAAAAATTTAACGTGCGAGTCGAATGATCTCTCTCCTTCAGAGATAGAAAATTAGAAAGTTCGTCTCTAGCAACTGAGGCTAAAGTGGGGAGATCGACGCAGTGGAGGGGATCGATGAAGAGAGTGGGGGCATGGCTCACGAGCCGCCAGTTTGCCACCACTTATAATTAGTGCACGCTACTGATCGCGAGATATACGGATATAACTTCCTTCAGTTCTAACGAGCTAGCAACTGTCCTTATGCTAGGCTTTCTCTTCAAAAATAGCACGAAACGCGTCATAAATCACGACACCGCTCGAAGTTCCCGAACAATTTCACTGCTGTTTCATTTCGCTGCTGTTTACTTTACGTTGATATCGAGCCAAAGAAAAACTGGGAGGAGCTGACCGATCGAGGAAGTAATCGGCGTCGAAAGCGGGCGGCAGCACTGGCGTGTAATAAACAATTCCGTGTGTGTCATACCGTGGATGAAGTACTACGTATTAATCACTGGAAATTTATGTGCGTTTCGCTCGGCGTACATCCGTGACCGCGGCGCACCGTTCTCATGAATAGTGATAAGCCAAACCGAGCTTTTCGTACGAGGCGCGCGATAACGTGCAAATAAACAAATACGCGGGACGCCGGACTCGCTCGCCATGTTAACACTTTCTTAATCTAATTTCCGGCCGCGCGTACATCCGCACTGACGCACCGCAATTTTGCTGTACGAAACCACGTGGGCACTTCACGATTATTAAATATCTTCTCATCTTTGTAATTGAAAATTGCACAACAATCGGGGATTAACGAAGGTTTATCACAGAGAAGATGTTACTTCGTTCAACTTGAATGAGAAAGAAGTATATTCGATATTATAAAAATTAGACAGCATCTTCAATTAATTATTTTTTTTTTTTTTTGCATAAAATGAATTAAATTTCAAGAATGTCAAACTGGAAGAAAACTATTAAAATTGAAAGAAGGTTTGCGGTTAATTTTTTTT